GGGCATATGATGGGTGGGTGGGTGGGTCAGGGCTGGGACCCCTTGTCCCCCTCGGTGCTGGGGATGGCACCCAAGGAGCAGCACAGGGGGCAGGGAGGGTCTCACCGCTCCCCCCTCCACCCCTCAGGGAAAGGGGAAGATGCGGACGTACTGGCTGCTGGGCGAGAGGAAAGACCCCAAAGTCATCTGAGCAGTGGCAGAGCCCCCAGCCCTGACGGGGCCGCCAACACTTCCCGGTGCCTGGACCCGCGGGATGCACTGGCAACCCCCCATCACTGCAGCCCACCACCACCTCCACCACAGCCCCCCCTGCTTCAGCAGGGTTTGGGCACGGGGGGCCAGTGGCCACAGCACTGCCTGCCCCCCTTCACCGGCACCAGCAAAGCCCACTTCCCCCCGCAGCCTCTGCTGGAGGGGGGAAACCAGCCCTGATCCAGCCCAGGGGGAGGGGGACCCCATGTCCCCCCACCCTCTGGGGTCCTGCCGCCCCTGCCCTCTCCCCCCTGGCTCAGCTGGCTCTGAGCTGCTCCCGGGGCCTGGCTGCCCCGCAGGGCACTTTGCCATCTCTTTTCAGTACCTGGCCCCCCCTGCAGAAGTTGTGTCCATGTCACCCCCTCCCCAGGGCAGGGAAGTGGGGGCTCCTGCCGGGACTGACCCCTTGGCCAGGGCTGGCTTCAATGCTGCGGCTCTCCCCCTCCCCTGTATATAACCCCACCGGGTCATGTAAATACGCCCCCCTCCCCTCCCCCCCCCAGGTGTAAATATAGGAGTCGCTGCGAACTATTTTGTTTGAAATACAAACTTCCCCAAATCCCTCCGTCCCCTGACCTCTGCTTCGCTCTGCCCTGGAGCACCAAGCAGGGTGGGGGGCTGGAGGGGGACCCCAACATCGAGTTCAGCCTGGGCTGGGGGACAGCTGCCTGGAGCATCCCAGAGCACCGTACCCCAGGGGTCCGGCTGCGGTGTGGGCTGGGGGTCCGGGCACGGGGAGCTGGTGCAGGGCGGCTGCAGCAGTGGCTGGCGAGGGCTTGGGGCAGTACTGTGAAGGCAGGGCTGCCACGGCGGGGTTTGCTTTGGCGTGAGGGCTGCAGTGTGTTCCTCTGAGCTCATGCTCATGGCCACGCCACAGCCGCCTCTTACTGGAACCCACCTGTGCCAGGGAACAGGGACAGGGGACGCCTGTCACCCGCTGTGGGCACTGGGAGAGGGCACGTCCCAGGGGGATGGGGCTGTGCCAGGGGCTCTGCCTCCATGCCCAAGGAGGGAGGCTTGGGGCCCCTGCACGTTTTGGGACAGGAGTGACCTGCAGAGAGGCTGGAGGGTGTCCCCACGCCTGTGCTGCATGGCCCTGCGGGGTTGGGGATGCCAGGGACGTGGTTCTCCCCCTCCAAACACCCAGCCTGCGGACAACCCTGGGGTGGCAAGGACTTTAGGACCACCTCTGCCCCCCTGCTTTTTATTGCATGAACCGGCTGCTCAGGGGGGTGGAGGGCAGGGGCTGCTCCAGGTACTCGGTAACTGGGGTGGTGAAGGCTGCGTTCCTCTGAAAGGGACTGTCTCCGCTGCGGATGCCGGTGACACCCTGGAGGAGAGGAAAGCAGAGAGGTCCCCATCAGCAGCTGAATCCCCTGCGTGCCAGCAGGGCAGGGTGCCAGGGGGCTTACGGGCAGGCTGTGGGCTTGCTCCAGCCAGAAGCTGCGGGGCTGCTCCGTGAAGTAGTTGTGGGGCTGTAGGTGGAAGCAATGTTAAGAGTGAGCAGCGGTGAACGGCCTCACCAGGCAGTCTCGGGGGGGACACACATTGGGGAGCCTTGTGGGCTTCCTGAGGGTTGCCACAGCTGGACTGGGGGACTGTCCCCTGCCTGTACCTGGCTGCTGGGCGGTGGTGTGAACTGGCAGCCCTTGGCGCCGTAGTCCCGATGGGTGGTGGAGATCAACTCCATGGGCTTTCGGGGTGGACAGATCTTCTCCAGCATCTCCTTCCTGCCGGCAGAGCAGACCCCACACCCCTCAGCTCTGGGATCACCCCCACCCCAGGCAGGCACCTGTGGCAGGGTACCCTCCTCTGGGGCATGGCTCCAGGGATGGGTGGCACGCCAAGGGCACAGGCTTGCCTGTATTTCTGGTAGAGCATGTTCTCCAGCATGGCCTTGCGCTGCCCTGAGGGGAAGAAGGTGCCATCAGCCCCACAGCCAAGATCCCCTTGCTACTGTTTTGGAGGCTACATGGCTTTTGGTGGGGGGTGTACAGTCTCACCTAGCCCCAGCAGCAGGACACTGTGCGGTGGGCGGTAGGTGTCCTTCGTGGTGGTGCTGTGGGTGGGCCAGGAGATGAGCTCGTGGGTGAGCAGCCCAGGGTGGCCATGACGGTAGGTGAAGCCCTCATTGATTGGCTCTCGCCCGGGCACGGTGTCCAGGTGGTTTGTGGCTCTCTGGGGATAGACAGCAGGGGCTGTGGGAAGGCAGCAGGAGCCCACCCTGCAGTGCTCCATGCCCACTCCCAGCTTTTAGGACTTTGACAGTCCCATGGGGCGCTGGGCAGGGTTGGGAGGTGGTGTCCCCAGGCTGTGGGATGGCTTGGCCCATCTTTCTGCCCTCCTCTCCACAAGCCTGGCTGGCCCAAGCAGGTGTCCCCGCATCTTTGTGATGGGCAGTGACACCCAGCTCCAGCTGCCCCAGCAGCAAGGTCTCCACTCTCCTCCCAAAGCCTCGCTGTCGCTCCCCACGTGCCTGCCCGTGCCTTTTGTGCTATTGAATTTCATCCCCTTTCCATCCCACTGGGCTCAAGGTCATCCAGGGAGCTCCAGCTTGGCCAAGGGCAACTATTTTTAGAGAGGGGGCTCCCTAGGAGCAGGGGGCTTCATGGGATCAGCATGTGGGACATGGTGGGGTGGGTTTTGAGGGGCATTTCCCCTTAGATGGTGGTGGGGCATTACCTCCTCCTGCCAGTTGTGCATCAAGCAGGTCCCCCGGGGCACCGACCGGAGGGGCTGCTCCACTGTTGTCTCCAGGGAGGCGGGCAGCACCGGCACTGCCATGGGGGGCTCCTCACCAGGGCAAGTCCCCGACTTTCCAGCACAGGGAGGCAGCTCAATGCCGCCGGGATCCTTCCCAGCCTCGGCAGGTGGCACCACGCTGGGCACAGCTGGCAGGACCTCAGTGGGCAGCTCAGCCGTGGCCAACGGCACCTCCTGGGGCACCGCATCCATGGCTGACATCTCCAGGGGCAGCTCAGTTGTGGCCGTCAGTGTCTCTCTCTGGCACGGGGGCTTCTCCACGAGCACCTCAGGCAGGACGACATCATTCCGGAACATGACCACGCATGGTGGCCTCTCCCCAGGGCACGTGGGAGGCACATGGCCTGTCAGAGCCACCCTGTAGGTGGGGACACTCCATGTGAGAAGGCAGTGGGGCGCATCCTTCAGCCCCCGCCCTTGCCCACCATGTTCCCAGCCCCCACCAGTGTGGGCAGGGCCCTGAGGCCGGGGACCCTGGGTGCCTCACGATGTCACCCCCACCCCAGAGTGGGGGACAAGGGACACCTGTCCCTTTGGGGAGGGAAGAAGCAGTGCTTGCTGCTGGCTCTGTGCTCCAGAGGTGTCTCCCCCTCCATAACTCCCCTCTTCCCCCTTAGTCCCCCTTCCCTAACCTCCCCTCCACACTCCCCCAGCCCAGGCTCTGCCCCGCAATGCCCCCACCCCCCTACTGTGTCCCCCCTCTTCCAGGGCTCTGGACCCCCC